TGCTCACAGAGAAACACATGCATAAGCCCAGTTAGGAGTCTCCTCCTGGCTTCCACCTTTAGGCAGCCTGCAAACATGCTCTCACCCTGATGCAGGGCTGTCTCTATAGATAAATGTGGGCTCCATAATCCCCAGGGATTACACCCTGATTCTCCAAGAAGCAGGGTCAGCCCTTTATCACAAGACTTGGAGAGTCACTAAACATATGTGAACAATTTAACCTGAAAGCTTCCTCAAGCCGTGAATACAAACCAGATAAATTGCCTACAAAAATTCAGCAGGGAAATCTAAGTCACTTGAAGGTCAGTAAATTCTTACTAATTAAATTCGTACCAAATGTAACCTCTCAATGTTGTGTTATTTAGTGCAACTCCTAAAAAAGGCAGAGTCCCTTTCAACTGCTTAAAAATCCTGCTGATTATTAGACCTTCAGCATTTTCATGAGCTTGTTTATAGGAGAAGGAAGGACTGGGGCTCACTCTCAATTACAATTAAAATTTTCTGATGGCTGCAAAAGTAATTTACTGCTTATGGTTTCTGGTTTCCTTCTGTCTCACAGTCCCAAACTGGAAGAGTCTAGTAATTTATTGTTCCATGTGTTCATTTTAAAAGTCTGGTATTTTAAATCTGTGACACAGAAGTAGTGAATCAGCTTGAGGGAATACTAACAAGGTTAAGAAATGGTTTTGCTTCAGCTATTGTCTCCAAGTGCTTCACCCATGCTTCAAATGCCAGTGCAGTGCATTATCTGACATCCTTGCAACCACAGTTTTAAGGTGACAATCTGCTAATTAGGTTAAAATTTAACCTGACACTGCCCAAGTGTAAAGCAGCACAAAGGAGAGGTTAACCTCTAGGTATAGACTGTGAGGTCAGGGATCAGAGGGTTTTTTTCTGTAAGAAAACTCATGTTACACAGAGCACAGTAGTACAAAATTCAAAAACCCAGTCCAGAGTACTGGCAGGATTTAGATTTTTTTTCTGGCAGATTACGAAAAAGTAGATAATACAGTGGGATAGCCTGTCCACATGAAACCCTAGAGGAAAGGGAGGGATACTTATTATAAATTAGAAACGAAGCCAGCTCAACCCTTGCCCAAAACAAAGTCAACCAGCCTCCCTCGATCCCTCCCACTTGGTTGCAAATCATAGCGAGACCACAAGGGGGCAGCATAAGATCAGACTTCACGTTTCTTGCCAAAATTGGCGATGGCTCGCACAGCAGCGAGAGGAGGGCACAACGCATTTCAATTATAACACCATATTATCAAGCACTGGGCTTAGATTAACAATGAGATGGGACCACTAATTAGTACTGTTTGCTTCTACCCTTGCTTTGCAATGGCCTACCCATTCTCAGACGCAATACAGGGAGAAAATCAGGATTTTCTTCCCTTACAGATAGGCAGATTGTTATTCTTCCCATTTTCCTAGGTAGGGAAACTAAGGTGGAGTATGGTAGGCTGCTTTACACCAAGATGAAATAGATGATAGATCTTATTTACCTCTCCCTTAGGCTTTTACAGGGCTTCAGCAAAAATTGGGACTACACAAGGTGTTAGCAATAAAAGTTGAGACATCCCCTAATCTCTCAACATCTCCAGAACAAAATTTCCCACACCTTTTATCATAGAATCATAGAATCATTCGGGCTGGAAGGGACCTTTAGAGGTCATCTAGTCCAACCCCCCTGTAGGGGAGTCCCTACATCTCCAACTAGATAAGGTTGCGCAGAGCCCCAGCCACCCTGACCTTGAATGCCTCCAGGGATGGGGCTTCCACCACCTCTCTAGGCAACCTGTTCCAGTGCTTCACCACCCTCATTGTAAAAATTTTTTTCCTTATGTCTAGTCTAAATCTACCTTCTTTTACTTTAAAACCATTACCCCTTGTTCTCTCACAGCAGACCCTGCTAAAAAGTCTGTCCCCATCTTATCCCTTTCACCTGTTGGCTCTCAATCTGATGGCCCATACAGGGCAACCTAGTTTCATCTCCAGCAGCCCCATGTGTGAAAAGCTTGCTCCAAAGTCTCTCAGAAAAAGCCAGTGCAGCTTTCAGTGGCTCGAAACATTGAAACAGAGATTGGAAGAAAAAACCTTTGGAAAGTAATCACAGCTTCTCCACTCGTATATTGACTTTTTTCCTTGGGCTCTATTTCTAAGATTAACTGTCTAAGCAATGTTTCTTACAAAAAAAAAAAAAAAAAAAAAGGCACATCTTTCTTGCACAGAGGTCTTCCTTCTGCAGCAAACGACAGTCTCTCTAGAGCCTTTAACCCAACAGAGCAGCCTGCAAGCCACAAGGAATGTAACTAGCTGGCCTGAGAGAGGTGATGAGGACTGCCAGGGTGACAAGCCCTGGTTTGGAAGGTCAGCATTTTTTCTCCTGCGTGACACAGGCCAAAGAAACTCCCTCAGCAGTTTCTACACCAGACCCAGAGTTACAGCATATCTTACACAAAGGAACTCATTGCACGGGGAAAGGCTGCACATGCAAAGCCTCCTACGTCTCCCTCCCCTGCCAGAGAGCACAGTCCATTTGTTAAATATCCCTGTGTTACATTTCTAGTCAGGACTCATCCAGCTTTTCCAGCCTTTGAATCACACCCAGCTTCCTTTCTGTTATCATACATTTCTTCCTCTGTACAGGTTTGCAGACCGTGATCAGATCAGCTCTTAACCTTCTCCTGGAAATTCATTCAACAAGCCCTTTGTCAGCCTCTGGGAATCTTTTCTGAATTTCTGAACTACTGAGAAGTGACTTTTACACTTTTCTCAAGGGTTTCATAGATGGGTTTGGAAAGGACAATTTCTTGGTTTCTCAGTTGTAAATGTTGTTAGCACTGAGGTCAACATCAAAATTAAACCATACATTCTCTGGCTTTGCAGTTTGATGATCGGTAGGCAAGAACCCAGTACAAGCAGGCATCCTTCCATCAGCTCCAGGCTCAGACCTACAGCTTCAGCTGGATATTTAAGGAGCTTGGCTTTTGGAAATATATACTGACTTTTCCAGTATTTTTAAGAACCAATGAAATACAGGTGTTTAAAATTTCTATTGCTGACTGCTTATAGCCTTTTCCCTTCCTACTTTGTCCTGTAGCAGTGTCATGGTTTAACCCCAGCCGGTTACTAAGCCTCACAGAGCTGCTCGCTCACTCCCCTCCGGTGGGATGGGGAAGAGAATCAGAAAGGTAAAAGTGAGAAAACTCATGGGCTGAGATAAAAACAGTTTAATAGGGAAAGCAAAAGCTGTGCACACAAGCAAAGCAAAACAAGGAATTCATTCCCCGCTTCCCATGGGCAGGCAGGTGTTCAGCCATCTCCAGGAAAGCAGGGCTCCATCACACCTAACAGTTACTTGGGAAGACAAACGCCATCACTCCAAACATCCCCCTCTTCCTTCTCCTTCCCCCAGGTTTACATGCTGAGCATGACGCCATAAGGTATGGGATATCCCTTGGGTCTGCTGGGGTCAGCTGTCCCGGCTGTGTCCCCTCCCAACTCCTTGTGCACCCCCAGCCTGCTCACCGCTGGGGTGGGGTGAGGAGCAGAAAAGGCCTTGATGCTGTGTAAGCCCTGCTCAGCAATAGCTAAAACATCCCTGTGTTACCAACACTGTTTCCAGCACAAATCCAAAACACAGCCCCATACCAGCTACTGTGAAGAAAATTAACTACCCCAGCCAAAGCCAGCACAAGCAGCTGGTGTTAAACAAAGTGGCTGAGTGAGCCAGCACACACACCACATCATCTTTCCTCCTTGTTCATCCCTCTAGTAAATGCTTCCTCCCTCCAACGTGGAGTGAAGTTCAGCCCTTTATCTCTCTCCGCTTGGACCACTGACCACCCCCCTGAAGGGCATCCTGACCAATGGGGCGAGTCTGCCCTCCCCAAGAGAGTCCCAACACTGAATTTTTTTTTTGGCATATGGGGACAGACTCAGCCTGGTCCATGTAACTGACATAGAAAGCAGCCAAGCAGCTAATACTACATTTTATATGCTGCAATTAATATGCACCACTTCTCATCTGTCATCACCCCACAGAAAAACGATCAGTCTTAAAGCGACCATGGGAAGCTACTTTCTCCCCAGCACATAATTAAATCATTGACCTCTTTGCCACAGGATATTTATTATAGGGGCCAAAAATATAAATGGGTTTAAAAGGCACAAGACTAATGTGTGCAGGGAAGAACCACTAGTGGCTGTTCATGAGTGGTCTGGATGCAGTGCTTGGGTCTGTCAAGCCCTTAAACCACTGCTCGGGTCTATCAAGCCCTTAAACCACTGCTTGTGAGAGGCTGGAAGTGGCTGCCTGGGTCATACTCACCCTCAGCACACCCAGTTCCCTCAACACCTTTTGCCAGGGCTGGAGGCACCATCCTCAGTGAGACAGGTTACTAATCTTGTCACATACTGCTGTTCTCTCCTCACTTCTTTTGCTGACATCCAGACAGATGTCCCTCCCTTGGGTCTCCATATGCTGAACTGCAGCCTCTTCTCCCCTTCTGGGCTGCGGGCACAGACCCAACTGGCTGCTGCTCACACGTGAGATCCTGGCTTGGCCGAGAGACCGTAGCACTGCTCCCCACCGCAGGGCAAGGCTGACCGCAGACAAGGGCAGGGAACAGAGGGAGATGCTTTGGAAGGTTACCTGTATTCAGTGCTGGTCGTTTGGTGCAGGGGGGTGTTGTGTCTGGGTTGTGTCCCCCAGCATTTGTCTAAAAAAAAAAAAAAAAAAAAAAAAAAAGAGGAAAGATGTTCTTGGGATTTGGCTCAAAACTAAGAAGTAAAAGATAAGAAAATCAGCTCCAGTCATGGCTCCAATTTCAGCTCTTCTCTGGAAATTTATCCCATGGCTACTGTGCCTTCAATGTGAAATAAAAAGAAATTAGTAGGAAAAAAAAATCTCTGAACTTTACTTTCTGAGGATGTATTGTAGCACTTACTGCACTGAGAGAAATGTACCATGATGCTTTATTTTCTGTTTTTGGAAGGGGATGAAGGTGAAAAAGGAGATAGAGGAGAAGTGGGCAAACAAGGAAAGGTTGGACCAAAAGGACCAAAAGGTATTTATGACAGTTTGTTGGCTCTTACTGGTATATGAATATCATTATACACAACTTTACCGGTGCATATAATGAGTGATGTTTAATGTTTTTCATTCCTGTTGCACCAGTGGATTTCACAATCCTGTCAAACATTAATCAGTGAATCTAACAGTACTTGGAGAGCTTGGTGTAATTCCTACCAATACATAAGACGGCTATATATGGCCCCAAAAAATTAGAGAGTCATGTAATAAATCAGTACATTTACTGCTGCTCTCCCAAGTGGATGTCATGAGTGTGATCCAGAAGACCCAGATCATATGTATAATCATTACCCAGATCATATATATAAAGATTACTGTTCTCTTACTGAAATGATCCTTTAGTTGAAACTGAATTTTGAGAGTTATTTCCCAGTAATAAATCAGGATGCTCAACAAAATTCGGTCTTAGCTGTGCCTATTTTGCAGAAAAGCAAATGGAGCCTTACACTGAGAAACAAAGTTCCTCTGATCAAACAGCATCTGAGCTGAGAACAAGGATTCGCAGATGTCTCAGGACTCGGCTCTATTAAACATATCCCATATCCCCAGTGTGAGCTGAGCAGAGCATTCAAAGGCACTAGATGTGATGATGTCAGCCTTGTTTGAATACTCTAATTCAAAAACTTAATTTATCATTAGGGTTTCATGATAATGCATACCCATGGTCTTTCTTCCTTGACAGTGGCTTAAGACTAATCAGGAAAGTTTTTACTTTTATAGAAACTTTAAAATCACTCTGTTATTATTGTTATAATAAAAAAACTTTTCCATTTTTAAATACATTCATATGACTGCTTCTTACCTTAAAAAGAAGATCAGGTAAGATACAAGGAAATCAGGTAACCAACCATTTACAAAGCATCTTGGTGATGTTAAATTCAGTGTGCAAACTGAGATTCCCTAAATTGGGCTGTCATCATTAGCCAGCTATTTTAGAACTTAAATGATTGAACAATTAAAAGGCATCTGTTGTTTTGGTGCTCTGAGGACTGGGAAAGCACATACAGCAAAACTAGTAGCTCCCTATTTGCAGTCCTGCTTTGAGAAGGATTGCCAGCAAAGCCACGAGGACTTTACCTCAAGGAAGAAGGAAAGGCTTTTGTCCGCGGTAGGGAAAAAAACCACCTAAATAAAACCTGCTGTCGGCCTGGTTTGGCTGTGAAGTAAATTCGATATTTGAATACTCACTGGCACTTTTTGTTTGTATTTTCTGTAAGAAAACATGACGTGTCCGGGCATTTGAACAGGCAGTTCTACTGAGGTACCTTGCAATGTGCTACTGTTCTATCCTACAGTAGCAGAGATCTACGCTGTCCTCCTCTAACCATCCTCGGGGCCCACTCATTCTGACTTTGCCACACATGAGGACTGGCCATGCTCAGGAAAAATAGCAGCAGTAGAGACCTAAATAGTGTCTTCTGAAAGAATTTATAGATACCATCCATGCTCTTTTCCTCTTTATTTCTTCTCTTAGGAAGTAAAGGACCTGTGGGGGATGTCGGTGACCAGGGAATGCTTGGGAAAATCGGTCCAATCGGTGGAAAGGGTAAGCTCTGGTCTGGGAATTTTCTTGTTTTTTTCCCTCAAGGTAAATATGTGTTTTGTGAGAGTTCCAGGAGTATGGAGTAATGTCAAATAACGGCTGTGGCCAGCGCTCTCCAAATAATGTTATGCATAAAGATTAGTAATGAGAGCTAACTGACATATTCTTGTTTTATTTCCCATGTGCAATATTTGGCTAAAATAATTTGCTTTATGAGTTAAGAAATCAATTCTTTTTGATGGTAAAAGAGGAAGGGAGAAATCTGGCCCTTGTGAAGTCAATTCTCCAAACGCTCTAAAAGAGAAAGCCAAATTTGTGCCTCTACTTTGGATGCTGAAGGCCTGAGTCAATATTCTGTTGCTGCTCAGGATGCCACACCTTGTCACCTGCACGGCTGTGGGACTATTGCTGTGAGCAAGCAACGCACAGGACAGCTTGGTAAGGAAAGGATTCTAGGAGTTTTAAGAAAGCACTCACGTAACCAGGGACGACAACTACTTGCAAATCAAGGTACCTGGACAAGAATTTAATGAAATTACGCTCTAGTCGTCTGAGAAGAAGCTCAGGCATTCCTTTCCGATATTCCTAAGGAGCTACTTAAGAAGGAATATTACTTCTGCCACAAGGAGACCTGCCTTGAAAGCTGAGCAGGGACTCCAGCATCCCCAGAGGAACTCTGTGGTCTCTAACCAGCACATCAAGCCAGGCATGCCGGTGAGTGGGTGGAACAATCTCTCCAGGGAGCTTCTCAAACCAATGTTTTTAATAAACCTTTGATGGCCCCTAGCCAGCCTCAGTATCAGAGAAGAACAAAAGAATTCGGTCTGAGGGACTAATTTTCAGAAGTACTTAGACAACTGAAAACACAGACAGTTATCTCCTAAGATATCTTCAATCACCAAAGGAGACTAGAATTTAAGAATACCACAAATTGCTTATCTTTTTCTGTAAGCAAACCAATGCTCTGAGCCTTTAAATCAAGCTCACTCTCAGCCAGAATTTTTAATTTATTGTCCCTTTCTAGTTTTTCTCATTTTCTTTCTTTATTTGCAGAAGCAAAGGTCACTAAGTCACTGTTTAAATCTACCATTAAACATTCAAGCTCTTAATGAAGCAACCCTGAAATTTCAGCTTGTAAGTGTGCAGTATCAAGCAGTGCTAATTACAATGACAGCCAACTCCTAATTTCTTTAAAAAACCACAGCCATATAAAGGAAAAAGCACATCAAAACACGGCCATCAACAAGGCAGAGCAAGAATTAATATTTTTTTACCTCTGAAGGTTTTAATTCATAAAAGAAGAGCTGACACGAATATCAGATAAAGTCCAGCTGTTCCTGATCCAAATTACAGCTGAGATTTTTTTTTAAAAAGCTAGTCACCTCCACTTACATAGTAGCATAGCATTTGGAGAAGTATTTCTATCATTTTTATGATTTACAGAAGAAGAGGAAAGCAGTTGGATGAAAATAAATCACATGTCCATGAACTATATCTGAAATGAAACACTGCTGCTTACGACCTCATTTCGTGCAGGTGCTAACTGCTGCCTGCACACGTAATCTGTTGCACACATGAATTCAGTGGTTTAGAGCACGTCAGCCTCAGCTGATGCCTCATCCCATCACAGAGCTCCCAAACCCAGGGAAGGGCTCTGTCGTGCAAGGCGATGAGAGAAGCCAGGTCTCACCACTCACAGCTTTCTTCAGTGCTTTCAGCCTCTCAGGATCATTTTGCAGTTTATATTTAAAGTAAGTGGTACCAGGAACCAGCAGCACACAAGATGCCTGTGTTATCAGTGAGTTAGCTATTAAAGGGTTCTCCTTATTTCCATACACCAGCATTAATCATAGTTTGTTTGACTTGGCACATCTGCAAGTACTGTACATCAAGGCTTCCTATCAGAAGCACACCATTAATATATTATTAAACAGGTTTTTCAAATCCGCTCCCCTGACATGTGCACTGTCTGAGATCTGAGAATATATTTTCCTCTTTATTCAGGTGACAAGGGAGCCAAAGGCTTATCGGGGGTTTCTGGAAAAAAGGGAAAAGCAGGTATGCTATGCATCCTTCTCTGCAAAATGGTCAAATCTGCTGGGTCTTTGATTTCAGGGTTGGTTTGTCTGGAGTTCCATAAAATTTTGAGGCCCATGGAAAAACCTGAGAATAGATCAAATGAACAGAAAGAGACTGAAAAAGTTTCGTTTAGCAAAATGAAGGCTTGGGTAGGGACATGACTGATGCCTACGAATATACCGACATACACAAACTATGGACGAGAGTTACCTAAATTAATGGGCAATGTCTAATATCGTAAAAACTAACACCTAGACAGGCCAGCAGTACATTTATACTGGAAACTAGAATAAAGTTTCTGAATACCAAAATAATTAAGTCCTTTAAAAGCTTCCTAATAGGAGCATGGGGACAAAAAAATAAGTGATTTTAGATAGAGCATAATCTGTTGTCAAATGAATGCAATGCATTTGTTTACAGGAGGAGAATTTGGATCTGGTGACCCAGAAAGTTCTTCCCAGTCCTAATAACCTCAAGTGTTTTCCCACCTTGAATGTACAGTTGTGTTCATTTTTAAGAGTTTTCATATGCAATGCCAGTTTGGTTCTTAATGGGAAACCATCAGCAACTTGTTTTCTTCCTGAAAATAACAGAGGAAAGAACAAAACCTATACCAAGCCAAATTTCACTTTACCAACAAAAATATAACTGAGACTTCAGTGCTTGAAAGTTATTGATTATTTGAGTTGGTATCAACTATTACAGCTGTACCACAGCTGCATGCAGCAATTCACTAACATGGTCTTTGTAGCAAAGCTTTGCCAATCCCACCTCTATGCATACTCACAAAACTCCTTCACTGAGAAAGCAGCAGTTCCTCATTTCATGGATGCTGTTTCTTCTCTTAGGCGGCCAGGGAACCTGTGCTGTTTACGGATACAAAGGTAGACCTTTGGCAATCAGGTATAACACTGTGGTGATCACCATGACAAGCCACATCTCTGCAGCTAGATGGAATCACTAATGAGAGGAGCAAAGGATGTGCAAATCCCACACTGATATGGGTGGAAAGAAGATGGCAAATTCTTCTATCTGCGTTTTGAAAAGTAGGGATTCTTAAGCCAGTTAGCAAGGGAGCATACAGAGCCAAAATATTAAGTGCTTTGATCAACAGAAGTATGGCCAGCAGGGCAGGGTGACACTGGCTTTCCACAAATGGAGGCCAAATCTTCAGAATGTTTGGAAGTGGGCTACAGACGACCCTCCACGCACACACACAAATGGTTCTAAACAGATAAATCCTCTATCCTTTGTATTGCATCAGGCACTGTCTGTGACTGTGGAAGATACCGCAGAGTTGTTGGACAACTGAGTATCAACGTTGCTCGTCTTAACACATCCATCAAATTTGTAAAGAATGGTAAGGATCTGTATGTATTTGCTGTGATTTATTTGGCTCCTATAACATTTATCATATTGCTATTCTTCTACCATTGCTGCTCTACGGCAGCATCCATAGATGACCCATAGAGAAGGTCCCACTGTGTGAGGCACTGAAATCATACAGAAAAGACAGTCTTACATCTGTAAGGATATAAGCAGCAGATGACTAAAAGCAAAAACCAGAAATTATCAACAGCACAACAGAAAGAATCATGAAAAGCACAAGGCACGGCTCACTAACCACCTCTGCACTGTCAGTGTGCTCAGGCTCAGCAGCCACTCAGGCAATGAAAGGAAAAAGTTTGTGCTGATCTGCTCCAGAAAGGCAGGAAAAGCAATAGGAACCTCTTGATCTTTCTGCTGCACAGGAAGGCTGCAGACACGGTACTTCTAGTGCTCCCCTCAGTGCAAGCATCATTTTCCTGTAACAGGGGACCAACACTGAAACACAAAGAAGCCACATTTGCAGGCAGCGCTGTCAGGTGGGCAGTGCAAACTGTTCTCACTGAAAGGAAAGAAGCATGTTTCCTGGCATAGCAGAGATTTTGAGAAGGCTCCTCCACTGCTTCTAGGACTAGGTCTGTATTAGTAAATTAAATGTGTTATAGGCTGTTCTCTGGCACTGTGGGCAACCAGCACAGAACAGCACTCATCTACATTATAAATCCTACAAAACTGAATGCTATATTATCAGGAGCATCCCTCTACTAACTCCTAAACTGTGCCTGGGATAACTCCTGAATTGTTTGGGAGAATGTTAGTTGCCCCAGGCAAAGGCTCTGCTCTGGACCACTCCAGCAATCCATCAGCAGGGACAATCAACTTCCAGCTGCCCAGGCACACTCCTTGGCACTGCTTAATTCACTAGGATATATGCTGGTTGAGAAGTTTGCCTTTTAAAGCTGCTGAGCAGCCAGAGTTTTCTTTCTAGTTAATGCCACTTAATGGCTACAGCAGCTCTGAATATCAGGTTGTATTTAAAATCTCTTATTTTAGCAGTCACGTTGATTTTCCTCTACATGGAAAGGGCTTGAAAAGCTATCTATACCCCTGTGTTTCTATCCCAGGGCACTCTTTCACAATCTATATTCAAATACATGCAAAGCAATGGGGGTGATCCAGAATTAGACATTGCTATTTGACCATTTAGCATGCCTTAATTTGATTAGTACTAGATACCAGTGAAGTAAAACTTAAGTGCCACAGGAGACACATGCCAATCAGGACTGAATAGTTCTTGTCCTAACACATGCAAGGTGCTTGTCAGTCCCATTAGTAGCATCAGTCTCTGATCATGTCCTCATCGTTCATCACAAATTCAGTGGTGGGAATACTTTTCCTCTCTTCCTTTTATTAATTCTAATGTAAAAATCATCTCATTGTCATATTGGAACAGAAGCACCTTCAATATCTGTTGACATGCCGTTAAGCAGTTTTTTTTCCCTTTTAAAGTTATAGCAGGTATCAGGGAGACAGACGAGAAATTCTATTACATTGTGAAAGAAGAGAAGAATTACAGAGAAGCCTTGATCCACTGCAGGGATAGAGGAGGAACACTGGCTATGCCTAAAGATGAGGCAACCAACGCCCTGATTGCCGACTATGTCTCCAACAGCGGCCTCTTCCGCGCCTTCATTGGGCTGAACGACATGGAAAAAGAAGGACAGTTTGTGTATGCAGACAACAGCCCACTGCAGAACTACAGTAACTGGAAGGAAGGGGAGCCTCACGACCCAGCTGGCAGAGAGGACTGTGTGGAAATGCTCAGCACGGGAGAGTGGAATGACTCTGAGTGCCAAGTCACCATCTACTTCGTGTGTGAATTCCTCAAGAAGAGGAAATAAAAGTGCCACAGAATGTGCCTGGCACCTGCTGTACATACAATAACCCCTACTCATTCATGCACTGTAGGGAATGCAGACAACCAGGGATAGGGCTCGATTTAGCCTTCACCTCACTGAGTTAAGCAAGCGTAATTACTGTTACGATGGCAGGGACCATAAAGTGAGCACAAGTCTGCAGGGGGCATCCAGCCAGTTGTGAATTTTTATTTCATTTCTGTGTGCAATTTAGGATGGGCATTTCTATGTGCAATTTAGGGGCAAATTTAGAGCATGCAGAGGTCAATATGATTTCACTAATGCCAGAAATAGCAAACTCACTGGTATATTAATTACTGATGTGATTTGCAAAGCCTTCAGATGGAACGAGTGTGATCTTTACTCATCTTCAACTGGTGACTTCAGAGCTGGGAGAATAGGTCTGCAGTTTCTCTTGAAAAAATCCTTCTTTTGTTAGAATCATAGAGCAATTTAAGTTGGAAGGGATCTCTGGAGGTCATCTGGTTGAATCTTCCATGAAAAGCAGGGCCAACTTCAAACTTAGATTAGAAGTTGTTATACTCTCCTTAATTTGGCTCTGCAATTATATTGCCTGATATACAAGGGAGGACTCACTTGTCTCTGCTTCCAACTCTATCATCCATCAGGCTAACTAACTTAGCAATCGCACTTCTGCATACAAGCCTGCACAGCTTGTAGGCAACCTGAGAATAGACGGAGCAGTGCTAGCCTCTGATGTCCCCAAAAATCTGCGAAAAACATAGAAAAGTCTAGTACAAAGAGAACAGTGCAAAGAAAGCAACACCATTGCTGTAGGCTGTAAGCACGCACATATAGTATCAGCTATACCAATGTGCATTGCTGGTTTAACAAGTGATTCTAGGAACGCCTTAACTCCCTAACTCTCCATGTCAGTATGGCCACAATAGATCACATTTTCCTATCTTTGATAATACTGAAGGAGCTCTTTTCTTCAGACACAGCAACAATTTTGCCTTCAGAAGTGAGCTTGTTCTTAGTCGTGGTTCAACTTTCCTCACAGCAGGAGATGTCAAGAGAAACCCCAGGGCCCCTGCAATGAATGTCTATAGATTTTCTTTCCCACTTCACACTAAAAAATGAAGGGATGATATCTGGAGGCTAAGGAGAATGCTAGACACTAAGCATAGTGCAGCAATGTACCCTGCAGGTCACTCTGAGCACCAGTTGCACATAGTCTTCCTCTGGGTAAATGAAGAGCTGGACATGCCATCAGCTAGTAATGCAAAGGGTCAGCTCCAAGTGTCCCTTCCACTGCTGTGTACAGCACTGCAAAGGCAGCTAGACAACAGTCATGCTTCCTCAACCTCACCCTGAACAGGAAAATTCTCCAAACGATTTAGCTGGTTGTTAGTTTGACTACAAGCTCATCTCTGAGGAATGACCAACACAGGAGCATCCCAGAAGACTCTGTGACTCAGAACCACTCTTGTAACGCAGTTTCTCTGCCACCAGTTCCTCCAGAAAACCCCCTGTTGCTACCAGGAGTAAATTATCTGTGTTGCTACACACCCTCCAGGGAACTATTCAGACCCGTGAATGAAGGGGTGGGACCACATTTCTTTTTATTGATCCCCTACTATGCCATGAGAGTATCTGGGGAAGCACGTTCACTTAGCACAACATAACTCATCCTGAATTGTTCCCTTCCTGGAAACTGATATTCCCCAAGATTAAGTAGAATTACACTTTTTAGGCTTTATAGTAATAAAGTCATTAAGCTAAATGCTTTGGTTTTAGAATCATTAATGGGTAATGATAAAGAATTAATGACTAATTCAAGGTAAAGGTTCTTGAGGAAATGCAATGCCTTTTAGAAGTTCAAGCCCAGGGCTGCTAGCCTCACCCACAGCAGGCCAGTTCTTACTAGTCATGCAGAAGTGGCATAGTAACATCCCTGTGGGCAGGCACAATCACACTGATACCCTTTCCACACCTCATCTTTACTTCTGACCCAAAAAGTCACCAAAATGTGCTTGGCAGACTAGGAGTCCAAATTGTGGAACTCTCTGGCCATACTGAGACCTCTGGCTGAAAAAATCCAGAGGTGTCCTTAATGCTACAATCATCATGAAGAGTTTTTTCCTGTTCTTTAGGAGGAAACTCAGAGCTGGGAGGTGAAAGAGGAGCAATAGTTTGCTGCAGGATCAAGCTCTGCCTGAGATTGGACTAGGCGCTCTCCTTCATGTACAACATCAGGGAATATATGTCTAAATTGAAACTCTTGTCTTTTTTAGGAGACTGTGAGTTATAAGTAATCCTGGAGCACGCTCCATGTATGAGAAGGAATGACTGTTGCAGTCTCTGGCTGCATGGCTGAGGGAGGCAACTGAGGAACTTATGTTGGGTTTCTGCAACGGAAAGGCTGGAACTGCCCAGTTCCTCCATCCTCCTCCTCTCCTACTACACCAGCTTCATCCTTTCTTAAATAGAAAAAAATAAACAAACCCAACACTTTCACCTACTATGTATTCATCTAACATTGGGCAAGGCTATATCAGTTGAAACGGCCGATCCTTTGCTAACTACAGAAGAGGGACACTAGGGGAGCACAGCATAGATGTTGAAGCTAGCCAGGCACAAGTGTGATCAGGTGCTTGCACAAGCCATTCCTGCAGCACTAGGTCCCAGTTAATAAATTTTGCCAAGAAGCCTAACTCATAGGCCAAGCCACATAAAAAAGGCTATCCCACAAAGGAAACCTGGCAGGTAGGTCCGTACAGCTCTGCACTATGCCATGTGGACCCAAGCTTGAGCCTGCACTAACTCAAATATTATAGCTGTGTTTTGCAGAAAAAATATGCTTGTTATAATTTATAATTAAGAATTTGGGCTACATCACAGGTTTCACTGCTAGCCAATGGAAATTCACTGTGGTCGGTAAAGTACCTTAGGTTTCTACGTGAAGTGGATGGAGCCAGGAGCACAGGAAATGGTGTCTGACTATTCAGGATTTATGGTCTGTTAGAGCTTGACACCTAAATAATTTTACCCAATCCCAGTATTATTTTTTCCCCATATTTTTCTCTTCATTATTCCCAGGCTGAACCTTTCTTGTTTCCATTTATGCCTTCTGTTTCTTGTCTTCCCATCAATTACCACTGTGAAGAGCCTGGCTGTGTCTTCTTGAAGATTCCCTCATAGGTACTGGCAGGCTGCTATTAGCTCCACCTGAAGCCACCTCTTCTCCAGGCTGAACAAATCCAGTTCCTTTAGCTCCTCCTCACATGGCTCTGACTCCAACCATCTTGCGGGCCCTCAGCTGATCTTGGCTCCAAGTTTTCAATGTCTTTCCTGTACTGGAGCAGGCTCAAAAGGACACAGTGTCTAGATGTGGTTTAGCAGGTGCTGAGCGGGAGGATAATCCCTTCCCTCGAGCTCCTGGCTGCGCTCCCTCTAGCACAGTCAGGATGCTGTTGGCTGCCTTTGCTGCCAGGGCACACTCCTGACGCACGGGCAGCGTGCTGTCTGCCAGGACTCCCCAGGGCCTTCTCAGTAAAGCCAGTCAGCCCCAGCCTGAATTGGTGCAAGGGCTC